CAGCCAGGGCGATGACTGAATCAATGCACGGCGGCCGAAGCAGGAGTCGCGGGTCACCTGGGCCTAGGCGCTTGCCAGAGGCTAAGGGAATGCATCAGAAGGGAGACAATGTCGACGACGGTAGCGTGCCCGAGCTCCGCAATCTCCCCGGCTTCGCGCGCGCTCATCCAAATCGGTCGTGGAGGGGAGCGGCGCGGAGGCGGAACAGCTACCAAACATGACGGGATGGGCGAGGGGGGGGCACCTACGACACCCGAAATTATGGCCGTGGTGGCAGGGCAATCGAGGTTGCGGACGCGATCGGGTAACACAGAGAGCTTTGGGGTTAGGCGGCGGAGCTCGGGTGGCTAACGCGACGGCGGAGAAACTTCACCAAGTGGCGTTTGGGCTTGGCGTCATGTTCTTCGGTCTTTTGGTTGTGTAATATGGAGGACAAAAATATGGGTCCTGGGTAGCAAAACTATTTTCAGATAGCTTTGTTCCTATATTCAAAGTGTCTTTGTAGGAAATTACCCCTGAGACCTCAATCCACGACAAAAATCATCTGACAAATATTTACAGAATTTATAACAAGTTAGATTAAGGTGATAACAGATTTAAGTAACAACACAACAATGACATAGCTAAGGGACATGTGAAAAGGGAGGAGGGGGGAGGAGGTATAAGACCATCTTTTCAACAAAACCATGATATGCATCATGTGACAGTAGCATCGTTTAAGAGAAAATACCCTACCAGGAGATTGAGAGCATACATGCTGATGACCACATCGCTTCGACATGTATTCATTGGAATCTCAAGTACATCGTACAGTGTTGTGTTATCGAGTTCCATCATGTGGTCAGCTGTAAGCTTGCTGATGAAAACAGCCTGGGAGTTTTGAAGTGCTGCTGTAGATTCCTCACAAAGGTCAAACCCAGTTAGCAGTTACTTCTATGCAACCCAGTTTGATGTTACCAAAAGGATCAAAGTAATTCAAGACATGTGAACTAAACCAAAAGGCGGCAGGGAAGAACATGTATGTGTGTACCTACGGATGATCATCAAGATTAGGTCGGACGAAGGGTGTCCTCACACAATACATGTTTGATGAGACGCTGACATCATCATACATCTCTCTTGTTTAAGTTTTCTCTCCTTGTTTCTCTGTTTCTTTGCTAAACAATATGACAACAAGTCATCTCTCTTGTTCAAGACGCTGACTATGAGCACCCATTCCTGATCGTTCTACCAAAAAAATTGATACAACTTATATTGTAAACTTAACAAGAAGACCAAAAAAAATAGATTTTAAAAAGGGTTGGGGACAATTTAATTGGTGGACGAGCCCACGCCGACAGGCTTATAAGAGGGCCGAGTGATACTCGAGCACAGATGCCCAAAGCCCGAGTTGCGCGCTTGACACACAGCACGGAGATGATCATAAAGCGCAGGCCGCCGCTTGCCCGCCGCTTGCCCTCAACGGCCCACGAGATCCCCGTTCTAGCCGGCCCCTCATCACTGTACCCTCTGCACTTTTACGTGGGCTACGAGCCCACCAACCAAACCGTGCCAACCCTTTGGCCCTCCTCTTGGCTGGAGTCACGAGCGCTCACCACCGCGCCCGGCCGATACGGTCGCTGCGACTCGCGTATTTGTGCCCGTCTTTGCGTTGTACGGTCAGCGGTGTGGGACTAATTAAATTAATCACCCCAATCACTCCAGCTAATACAACGGACGACCGATGTATTTGTACATATATAGGGCTAACCTTGCATTGCGTACGTACATACATAATATGCCCAGTGCACACAGCATGCGTGGAGCTTTGTATATGTTAATCTATATTTTTTTTCTTCAGAAACCAATGACCTCCCAAGAGAGGCGATTAGGGTTTGTACGGAGTTTTGACGGCCCATGTTGATTTCTTGGAAGGGGAGCGGTGATTCTTGTTGAGGAGACCGGATTCGGTGCTGCCTCCACCTCTGGCTCAGCTTCGTCTCTCGTAGACTGTGTTTGGGGTGACTAAGAGAGGGCCTCCGTACAGAGGCCGGCGAGGGAATAGATGGATGATGCTCTAGGCAAACTAGATATCACAGAGGAGGAAGACACTCTGCTGGTGATTGACGACATTGAGAAAGAGGGTGTCGTACGAAAGTGGTCATCACTTGCAGTGCAAATCATATATCACAATACCTTCCATGTCCAAACGATCACACATGCTTTACGACCTGCAAGGGGTAACCCTAGAGGGTTTGCGTTTTATTTACTTGTTGCAAAGAACGTGTTTGTTGTGGATTTCGAGGCTCGGAGAGAACAAGATCTCGTTAAGGATGGGGCACCGTGGCACAGCAGCAAGAATCTTGTGAACCACATGGTTCCATCTGAGATGAAGCTTAATAAACTACAAATGTGGGTCACCTGGTTCATCAATTTATCCTTTAATATGAGCAATGATATTTAGGACTCATGCCCGCTGAACACATCGACTAGGATGATTCAACTTTGTAGATCGACCCCATTGGAGGGTTCCTGGGCTAGAGTCACCGTGGATGGTGACAAGCCCTTGAGAAGATGGGTCCATATTGATTCAGTTACAAGACAGAGTCGGGACTGGTATTCCCAACAATTTTTCAAATACCATTACACCAAGCAAGTCGATTTGGTTAGCAAGCATGATCCCTAGCTCTTATTGTTGTCTCGATCGATCGTAAGTACTCCCTTCATTTCTGTATACAAGGTCACTTCATATTTGTATGTCTAACTTTGATCATTAATTTTACCAATAAAAGTGAGTTATAGGCCACAAAAAGTATGTCCCTGGATGCATGTTTCAAAGAAATTTTGATGATCTTTTTATGACATAACACCCATATTCTACTGACCAAAAACATATGTCAAAGTTTGACACAAAAAACAAAGTGGCCATATATACAGAAATGGAGGGAGTAAGGGAAATAAATGTCCCGGTTCAGCTCGAACGTATCACTCACGAACCACATCTCCCTTCCTACATGTGCAACACGCATGTACCAGCTATTTCAGTGGAGATCCAAAATGACTGTGAGAATATGTTTGTTGTTATACGACATTACTTAATTAAATATATATTTGCTTGGAGTAACCATGAAGAGATCAACAATGTTGGTTTCTCTAAATACTTGATATTATCCATGCTCTCTTAAGCAAGCTAAAGAACATTTAGCCCCTCTATGATGAGATGGAAGGCCCCGCCCCTTCGCAACCCCAATGGTGCTAGAATTTCGTCTCCTTCCCTAACAATTACACCATGTAACACATAGAATGAAACCATTCTCATTGGCATCAATGAGTTCAGTTATCCTTCTAGCCTCTCTGTGATTGACGTCCCGTGGGTTGTGTTGAAGATCAATGTTAAGTTTCATGCACAATCTTCTACTTTTGGAAACTAGCTAGACCTCTTGTGTACAATTATGAAATCAAGTGCATTCCGGATGGGCATATCGAATGAACAAACTGTATTTGCACAAAACTGAATCAACCATATTTATGCTTATCGACGATGTTACTAAAATAACAAGTATAAAGCATGCACATGTTGTCACCTTATGTATGAACCTAACATCCAATACGTTTACGAAAAATCCTAATTATACTCTGGAAGTTTCTATAAATATGCTTAGTTAACAACACACTAGAAATTCCACTAATACATCAACCAAACATTACACTATAAAGGTCTTTAACATTATATTTACTATTAACAAAAATTGAATGAACAAAAATAAACACATATGCAACATATTGTTTATGGAATTGTTAAAAATATATTCAAAAGGAACTTTTGTTAAAGTGCGGAAATTGTATTAAACAGGAAGAAATTGTTTAGTGATATACATTCTATTTGTATAACTAGTCAATATTTGGTAATATTGTTATGTGTTTAGCTATTCCAAGTAATATGAATTATAAGTTTTAATATTGTGGTATTATATAAATAAGTTTACATAAATACAGAAGTTTAATATTTGATAATATTGTTTTGGGAGGTAGGGTTGTGCAGCCAGCATGATGCAAGAGGTGGGGAGGAGCGAAGATACGCAAGCCCACCTGGGGCAGAAGTCTAGTTGGGGGATGCGATGCAGACAACGGGAAGGGCGGCATGGGCGCGCAGGAAAGAATTTTTTATTAATTGCTCAAGAATGGATGACGAACCATTACATATTGATTAGTTTTTGATTGGTGGGATTAGTGGCTTCTCAGTGCGCTCAACATGATTTGTGTTTAACAATGAGAGAATTTGGACCTTCGGATCCCGTTCTTTTATAGGGGTAATAGACTTGATGAAAAACATGCATGTTTGAATGAGCCATACGTGCCTTTGCTTGGAAATCGATTGATCGGGTACGTTTAATTACTTTCTCCCACCAACAAATTAAGTACAAGTAGTACACTAGAACCAACGATCGATCAATACAACTACTCTCTCGTCAAGTTTATTGTAAATGAATCGAATCACATCGAGGCCAACTAAATGTAACTTTAAATTAAGATTTTTTTTTTGATCAAAACAATTTGAGTTGGATTCACTATTAAGTTTTTTAATATGATGACAATTTTAAACAATCTAGAGAAAATAATAGTTAGGCATATACAATTATTAAAATTTCAAAGGCAATCTATGTTAAAGCATATTCTTATAAAATATAAAATATGGCACCGCTTTAAAACACATGATTATAACAAACAAAGGTTTTTAACAATATCCACTATGCTTAATCCATTTCCAAGACCAATGCCCGCGCAAATTTGTGGGCCACTCTGCTAGTTAAGTACAAGTAGTACACTAGAACCAACGATCGATCGATACCACTACTCTGTCTTCAAATCCACGGTAAATGAATCGAATCACATGCTGGAGCTTGTATATATTATAAGTTTATTCTTCTTCATCGTTCTCGTCTTCTTATATTAAACCTCAAGTATAGCACAACCATGGCAATACTTGATGGATGGCCGATGGAGCTATCCTGGTTAGTTGGCTAGCTGCTGAGGCTGCTGCCTGCTCCGTGGAGGATGCTACCGTCGGAGGTGTGCCTCATGGTAAGCCTACCGTTGCCAATGATCCCCTTCTTCATCATGGCCACAAACTCCCCGTAGTCGATCCGACCATCCTGCATTTCAGTCATTCAAATTTCAATTCAAATTTGTAATCAGTAACATAAGATGGATTAATGAAGAGAAAATCGAGTACTCACGTTGTCCTGGTCGACCTCCCTAATGATGTCGTCGATGCCGACGTCGGCCATGTTGTGCTCGCGACACGCCACCTCCAGCTCGTCGACGGTGATGTACCCGCTGCCATCCTTGTCGAAGTAGGAGAAGGCCGCCATGAGGTGCTCCTCGCGGTCGAGCTTGTTCATGTGCACGGTGGCGGCGATGAACTCGTCATAATCGATGGTACCGCTACGGTCCACGTCAGCGGCCTCCATGAGGTCCCGCACCTCTGAGTCCCTGAGCTCGGTGGACCCGTAACGGCGTAGCCCCTCCCGGAGCTCCTCGAACGTGATGGCACCGCTGCCGTCCGTGTCCATGGTCTTGAACATCTCCTTGAGCCCGGCCAACTCCTCCTCTGACAGCCCGCGCGCGATTACACGTAAAGCCATCTTCTTCAACCGGTTCATGGCCGAGAACTGCTTGAGCCTGGAGAGCACAGCAGGGTCCAGCGGCGCGTCGGGGGCCTCGCCGTTCTCGATGATCCATGGGTGGCACAACACCTGGTCGGTTATCACTTTTGGTTTCAGAAATATTTCAATAAATCCGGAAATCACTGAAATCCTGAATTTCAGCGATACCAAGTTGCATTTCGGCCCTTTGGAGGGCCGAAACATTCAGCTAATGCAACAAAACAAATTAGTAATTTTTGAAAATTATTCGAATTCCTGCGTACTACCGAAAAATTTGCTGAAATATTCTGAGCAAAAGATAAAAAATATTTAAGCGTGTACTAAAAAAAATGGGAATCAATGAATTTTTTTATTGAAATCTTGCATTGATAGAAAGTGAATCTTTGGTTACCTGGTGCGCCGTGAACCGCTCCGCCGGCGGCGACTTGAGCATCTTCCGGATGAGGTCCTTGGCGCCGTCGGAGATGTTGGGCCACGGGTCGGAGTCGAAGTCGATGGCGCCCTTGAGCACGGCGTCGAAGATGCCCTGCTGCGTCTCGGCCCAGAAGGGCGGCACGCCGGAAAGGAGGATGTAGACGATGACGCCGGCGGTCCAGACGTCGGCCTCGGGGCCGTAGTGCTTGCAGAGCACCTCGGGCGCGACGTAGTAGGGGCTGCCCACGACGTCGGTGAAGATCTGGCCGGGCTTGAAGAAGACGGAGAGGCCGAAGTCGATGGCCTTGAGGTTGATCTTCTCGCCGGCCGGTTCGTTAACATTAACATCAACATTGTTGCCGGAGGCATTGTTGTTGTTGGTGTCACCACCGTTACCTTCCTTGTCTTTCAATAGAAAGTTCTCGGGCTTGAGGTCGCGGTGCATGACCCCGAGCGAGTGGCAGGCCTCGACGACGCCGACGATGACGCGGGCGATCTCGGCGGCGCGGCGCTCGGAGAAGTAGCCTCGCTGGACGATGCGGTCGAAGAGCTCGCCGCCCTCGCAGAGCTCCATGACGATGTGCACGAACTGCGCGTCCTCGTACGCGCCCTTGATGGTGACCACGCTGTCGTGCCCGGCAAGGTGGTGCATGATCTGGATCTCGCGCCGCACGTCCTCCACGTCCTCGGGCGTCAGCAGCTTGCGCTTGGCGATGGACTTGCAGGCGAAGGCGACGCCGGTTGAGATCTCGGTGCAGAGGTAGGTGGTGCCGAACTGGCCCTGGCCGAGCTTGCGGCCGACATCGTAGAGGTCCCGCAGGAGCGGGGTTTGGTGGCCCATCACGGCCGTCGGGGAGGAGAGCTGGTGCTGGTGGCCGGCTCCGCGGCCCATGATGGTGTTGCGGTGCGGCGCGCGGTCGAGGACGGGGGAGGAGGAGTCGGAGTCCCAGTCGGAGCTGCTGCAGCTGGTGCGGTAGTGGTGGCGGCCGTCACCGGCCGCGGGAACGATGGAGCCGTGGCACGAGTTGCCCATGCATCGTCGTCGTCGTCAACGATGGATCCTCCTCAATGATCAATGATGATCGAGGGACCCTCGATGCAGCAAGGGATCGAGCGGGAAGACGAAGGTGGAGCGGTGTGGAGCGATGGTAGGCTAAGCAGGGACGACGACGGACGACGACCACTCCTCTCCTCTCCATTGTTTCGGGGCGCATGTCCCTCCTAATTTGAGCTCGCTCGTGCATGCATGCATGGCATGTCGAGCGTCGTGCGGTGCACCGCCGCTACCCTGCTCTGCTGGCCGGCCGGACGTGCAATGCACCGCGATCGACTACGTGCATGCCGCTTGGCATTAGCTAGTAGGTGCGGCACCACGTACGTGCTAGCTGCAGCAGCAGTTTCTCCTATCCTCAACGTCGTGCACCCCTCCCCCGTCCGGCGTGGCGGCCGGGCTTCATACGAGTATAGTATCCCCCGGATCTTTTTTTACTCTGCATATAAAATTTATCTGAAGTCAAACCTCGAAAAGCTTAATCAATTTTGTAGAAAAAAATACCAGCATTCATAATATGTGTAATCAATATTATTTATATTATTATTAGGTGCGTCTTATGAATTTAATTTACATATTGTATAACTTTAGTACTATAAATGTTGATATTTTTCAATATAAATATGGCCACACTTTACAAAGTTTGATTTCAGACAAATATCTTATATATATGCCAAGTAAAAAGACCGGAGAGAGTAGTAGTAGTACTCGTATGTATTTTAGACTTTTGGGCATGGCATCCCAATAGAAAGGGTCGGTTCACAGTCTGCTCCGCCTACAAATTCATGATCAAAACTAAGGTAACAAGAGAGAATTGGCTCAAAGAAGAAGGGGAGGCTCACCGAATAATGATAGAGAAGAGAAAGATTGGAAGTCGCTCGTTGTGGAATCTAATACTATCTCCGTCCCGGTTTATTGGTCCTCATTGTATCTTGTGACAAATTTTAATCATAAATTAACTAATAAAATGTTCATCTATGTCATTGAAAATTATATCATTGAAAACTATGTTTCAAATACGAACCCAATGATATAATTTTTTTTGACATGCATTAATAATTTTTTAGTTAAATATTTGGTCAAAATTTGGCACGGATTGCAATGAGGACCAATAAACCAGGACCGAGGTAGTAATTCCGTCCAAAATCAGAGTTTTCTTATGGCGGTTGGCTAGCCACTCCTTGCCAACGAGGGATGTGTTGAACAGAAGAAACATGTCCCATCGGGTTGCATGTCTTCTATGTGGCGCACCAGACTCGTGGTGGCGCGCGCTTCTGTCGTGTACCATGGCGAGGTGCACCTGGGCTTCTGTCCGATCTTGCTCTGGTGTCCAAGATGGCAGATAATACAGAGCCACGAGCGAAGAATTAGCTGTTGGAGCTAAATGAGACCCTTGAGCACAGTGAGTTCACAAGGATGGTGGTGACCCTTTGGTTTATCTGGTACGCAGGGAGACAAGCCATCCACGATGCGATCTTTCAGTCACCATAGTAGACATCTTCTCTTGTGAGCTCCTACATTACTGAGTTGGACCAGGTAGCAATACCAGAGACGAGGCAAGCTCGAGTGGGGACGCGACAGGATGATTCCCAGCGATGGTTAGCACCCCCTGGCGGTATAGTAAAAGTTAGTGTTGACAGGGCCTGATGTGGCGCTCATAGGTGTGGAGGTGCAGTGGCAGCCCTATGCCGTGATCATAGTGGGCTGTGCCTGGGATCATCTGTTGTTGTATATCGAGGTATCACCGATCCTGTAATCTTGGAGACATACACATGCAGGGAAGCGCCAGCACTAGAGGAAGACCTACATGTACTCCCTCCGTTCCAAATTACTCGTCGTGGTTTTAGTTCAACTAAAACCACGACGAGTAATTTGGAACCGAGGGAGTACAAGGGATGAAGGTGGAATCCGATTATCTAGGTGTGGTGAATGAGATAAACCACGGGATAGGAGGTCCTCACTTGTCCATCATACATGAAATAATGGGACGTAGAACTAGTTTTACTTTTCGTTCTTTCGTTCATGAGGATAGGAGCCACAATTCTGAGGCCCATGATCTCGCCAAATTTTCTTGTAATTTAGGCATCGGTAGACATGTTTGGTTGGGAAATCCTCATGACCCAAGCCTTGTACCTTTGAACATTGCTATCAATCAATAAACTGGCAAGATTTCTCAAAATAAAATAAATAAAGGGCATTAGAGAGACAAGGCGAAGCCAGGAGACACGTGACCTCCTCCTGAAAACCTAGCC